CATTATACAACATTTTTTAACAATGGACTAGTTAGATGACGGACTCTCAACTCATACTCTAATTCAGGAGCTAACAGATGCTCTACCTTGAACGCAGACATTTTTACACAACTGAGAAATATACAAGAGAATGAGTAAAAGTAGGTAAAGTTTAACTTACTCTCTGTCCTCAAATTAATATTCTGAAGGGATACCTATACCAGTAATGTTTAATTGTTTTGGTCCAGTTCTGAAATCCAATGACATATACTGCTACAACACCCTAAGGAACCTAAAATTTCAAAAACTGTTATTTCGAGGTAGTGACTCAACTTATTGGCTACTCCGGACTTGTAAAAATATGTGAAATAGTTAACTTTAAGTTCTTTAAATTTTCAATGAATTTATTATTTAGTTAAAATAGTTATTTAACAAATCAAAACAAAGTAATTTATTCAGTCTACACAGTATTTAGCAAAACAAGTCGATTTAAGATATAGATATAAGGTAATGTCCAAAAAAAATTGAAAAACAAAACTAAACGTTAAAATGAAAATCTAAAAGCACAACTAGTGAAAACCACAACAACCCAAGATCAAAATCAAAAGTTAAAGGAGATATATATATATATATATTTTTTTAAGGCAGAAGTGGAAAAGAAGCCCCACGTTGGGTCTAGCCAATTGAAACGTCAATTGGCGTTGGGCGCCAATTGAAAAGCTCAATACTCCGGGAGTATTGGGTTTTTTTGGAAGTGTAGAACTTCCAAATTTCAGAAGAACTGAAAGAGAAGTGATGAAAAAAAAAATACTAAAAATAGGGCTAAGCTCAGAGGAACAAATTTAAATGGCCAAAGAGACACTAAATCTCAAGTGAGTGTTCGGGCTAGCTTCAATGCACTGGATTGTGGCTTTAAAGATATAAACAACAATAACAAGAGATAATGAGCTAATGAGACAAGAAAGAAATGAGACCTGGTAATATCAAACGTGATACAACTGAAGAAGGTCACTGGGAATAAATTTATAGAAAGAGAACAATAAGAAGAGAAAAGAAGGGCGCCAACTCAACGATAGTTGAGATTTTGAAGTAACAAATGAATCTGGAGATAATACTCTGAAATACAAAAATACTAAATAATAATCTTATTTTGCTATGTTATATACTGGTTAGTAGAACTGAAATAAAACTCAAAATAGCAACAATAAATATATTTATAAGAAATGTATATAGGTATATGTGTATAAACAATTTACATATAATGCAAAGCCAAATAACAGTGGTAGTGGATGGTGTACAGATACAATGGGACCTAATAGCCCCTCAACAAACGAATAGTCACTACCACTGGCCAAATAAAATATGAAATATTAGTATACAGCAAGAATAGTCCGTATTGTAGCCAAAGTCTTAACACACAAAAGGTAGTAATTTAACTTAAAATAGTTCCACTAATATGAGAAATAATTACTGTATTGTACAGATATCAACAATGATAACTCTGTTACAATTATCATATTATATCCAAAAAGTGAGTCTTCAATACTCTTTATATAATGTTTAAAAAAAAAACATATGAAATTTATTTCCCTTTCCCCAATATCAAAATTGTATTAGATTAACAAAAATATTATATAAAAAAAATGAGTTTGGTCAGACTCTGTATATCCTAACTAAAACCTAATAACACCTGAAGTGTCCTTTTTTCCTCCCCGAATATTTTATAATTAAATTATCAAAAATTAAATGTTCACCTTGTCATATGCATATGCAGAGGGTATACTACTAAATAGGAAGTAACAAAAATTAAACAATAAATAGATAGTAACACAAAAGTCAAATAGTTAAACAACTTATCTTTACAGCATTATAAGTCCATAGGAAAAACTCCTCTTGGCACGGTTACATCAGTTTATGGCTGTAAAGACGAATCCTGGGCACAAAAACACAACCAGTCACTGGTCTCTGGGTGACAGCAAAATCCACGGGTTACATACACAAGTTGCTAATTAGTTTCAGGATTCAAAGTTACTAATATCCTCGAGGGAATATTCTGAAAAGAATATCCTCAAGTGAAGTGAAATTAATATTTTCACGTGACGGAATATGGAACTGTAGCACGCCAAAAAAATCTTCCTTTTATGTGGAACTCTTATAAATATTGATTTTATTATACAAATTACTTATTATTATTTAGATATGTATTTTATTTATAAATTAATTTATTCTTCCCCAAATTATCTTCCTTGTTCCAATTCCGTCACTTTGAAGGTGAAAAATTTCACCGGTTGGCGTGGCTGCGTTGACGAGTTCAGACCAAAACTGATCGTTCGGCTTCCGCATAAAATCGATCTTCCTTTCAAAGCGATAACCACTGCGTGGGGAAAAATGTCGATTTAAAATCGATCGTAGGCGGGTAATAAAAATTTCTAAAGGGGTTAATCAGTAGCGTAAACGCTACAAGAGCCACTGACAGAAGGAAGCCAGGCAGGGTCGTTAGTGGGCATTAGTACTTAAGCTACCCTCAACACAAAAGATGGATTAGGCTAAGTAGTGAGAAGTGCAGTTTATTTTAATACAAGTTTGCAAAGAAGTATGGCATAGATGTTGTGCATTTACCCTATACAGACTAGTCACTTTGAGACAATCTATAGCTGTACGGTATTTTATGGATTATCCCGGCGAGGTTTAATTCCTTTTTTTAAGCATATCCCACAAATGCTCTATACTTCTATAGGACCAAGGTCGAGTGAGCAAGTAAGTCACTGCAGAATAGCGATATCTTCTGCTTTAAGGAACTCTGTAGTGACTGCTGGTATGTGGAGATGTATTATCATGCATGAAAATTAAATTTTTTCACACTGCACTTGTTCAGTCTAACTATAAGTTCTAGAACCAAATCAACATACCTTCAAGCTATTAAAGTCGGTTGAATGAAAATTAAATAAGTTTTTTCACCGACCATATTACTTCCCCAGAACATAATAATTCCTTCATTAGGTCTGTGAACAGATCTGGCTGTTTCTGTTTGTCTTCCTCGCCATCTAAGTACACGAATTCATAGGTCATATAATTTTACGCAAATCCTGGTTTCGTCTGAAAATGTCACATTTTGCCAATTTCCAATTTTGGTATTGAAGACACAAATTCAAGCTATCAATCTTATGCTGCCTGATTAACTTGGCAATCCGTAACTGTCATATAGTCGTGTTATATAGTTCTTGGGCAAGAAGTCTTCTTTCAACTGAAATACCTACACCTGTACCTCTTAAAAACTACTTTTGGAGTTGCGGGTAAGAAATTGTTCTCTTCTAGCTTTTGGTCTCTTCTAACTACTTTAGCTTAGTCTCTTCTAGCTACTTGAACATTAAAACGATCGTGGCAAGCCGTTGTTACTTTTTGGCGACTTTATCTATTCTTAAGCGTTCCTAACACCTGATACTTAGCATAGGTTTACGACACATCGCCCTGTGTTATACCTACCTCTGTAGCTACGTCCCTATAAGAGATTCATTACCCCATAAAACCAATAAGGCGTATTTTCCTTTTCATCATCATCATTTTGGCTTTACAACCCTGTGTGGGTCCTAGCCTCCCCAAGAATTCTCTTCCAGTCGTCCCTATCCATCGCCTTCCTCCGCCAAGCACGTATTTCCATATTTCTCATATCTTGGTCTATGTTATCTAGGAATCTTGTTCTGGGTCTTCCTCTTCTTCTTTGACCAATAGGTCTATCAAGGAGCGTTTTTCTAGCTGGGTCGGATTGCTCCATCCGCATTACATGGCCTACCCACCTCAGACGTCCTATCTTAATGTGTTTTATGATATCTGGTTCCTGGTATATTCTATAGAGTTCGAAGTTGTATCGTCTTCTCCAGACACCATTTTCATTTACCGCTCCATAAATTCGCCTCAGTATTTTTCTTTCGAAACATCCTAACATGTTTTCATGCTTTTTGTTAAACTCCAGGTTTCTGAACCATATGTTAGGACTGGGCGTATTATTGTTTTGTAGAGTTTTACTTTTGTATTTCTTGATATAGCTGTAGATTTAAAAAGGAGATTACGCCCAAAATAGCATCTATTAGCCGTGCAAATTCTGCTCTAATGTCATTTTTAGTATTGGCGAGCGTTCCCAGGTATACAAATTCGTTAACTGCTTCGATGATGTCGTTTTCATGTATTTTCTTTTTCTTTTTGAAAGCGAAATTAAGTTAAAAGTTTATTAATTTTCGTTCAATTTACAACTAAAACAAATAATTTATACCGTGCCGGGAAGTGGTATCTGATTGTTTTATTGGTTTGTTTATTTTTAATAAAAACCTTTATTCTTCGCAATAATAACAAGTTTTTTCAAAAGACATAAATATTAGTTTATATATAGTATATTATTTAGTACTAGTCACTATACTATACTGACAACAATGCAACGAATTTGATGTGGGTACTTTTGTTACAAAAAAACCCTAATAGCAGCACGAGAAAAATTTCGAATGAATTAGGAATCATGATAAAAAAACTGATTTTTTTGTGTAAAAACATACTTTATTAGATAGGAAAAAATCTCGACATGGGGTCTGTTGTTTCTGCATAAAATGGGTTAATAATTTGTCCTTATCGAAATCGTGTTTTTTGAACTCTTGAAGAAGTAAAGTCGTCAGAGATTTGACCTCTATAAAAATTATATAAACAAGCTGAATTTTGCTGATGTCAATTTTGATACCCCAAAAATATGCAAAATTTACCACTTTTACCCTAAAGCTTCCACCTAAAATCACTCTTGTAGGGGGAAATGGAAAAAGTCGATTTGCCAAGAATCTGTAAGACGTGTAAAAAATGTAGCCGAGATAATTTTAAATAAAAATGTTTACTGGTTCTTTTTCCGAAACAACAAATCATTAATTGTCTACCTTGTTCAGAATAAAACTAATACACAAAATATCACATTTATTAAAAAAATCAAAGTCTTATCAAAAATAAATATTAACTTAGGTAATGTTAAATAATAAGTATCACGCAAGTTAACTAGAAGCATCATTAGCATTTTGTCCATTAGGGTTCTCAATTCTATCGTAATCTACTCCAGTAATAACATTTCTATTTGCTCTATACACAGCATTTTTGTTTGCCATTGCTCTTTGTTTAATATCGTATAAAGGCGTTAGTTCGTCTTGAACTGGTTTTTCTTCTGGAATTTTATCTTCACCGTGTATTAATAAATTAGCAGTTTCTATATCCCTGACAAGATTTGATGAGAAAGGAGTAATACCTGGACATTTTTCTGAAAAATAATGAAATTGATCTTTATTAATATTAAACCTGCAATTATATACATTACATATATACTCAGAGAAAAAACAACTCAGAAATTTAAATCAATTTAATGATCAATAATTCTATGAATTCTTCTTCTCTGACTCATTTTTCCTGTAATTGCAATGCTTTTAAAAATAAAATTAACAAAATGTCCAATTGACATGTTTAAAATACAAAATAAAATACAAAACAAACACACGTGGCTTTTGATGAAACACATTTTTGTTGTGTACCGATTAAAAAATTGAAAAAGACTGTTAGACTTGTACACACTTCTAAATAGGTCTAACTGGTAAGCAGGTTTTGTATGTTTTCAATAAAATTGATAGTGTATAAAATAATTTATTAATTAAGCTTAGTATACTTTCGACATAATAAATGTAATCATCAGAGCTATCGTCAATTAGGCAATAAATACTTCATAGAAGAAAAATTGTGGACAAACAACATATAAAAAACAAAGATCGGGCTCTCTAGGCCACATATCTTGGGTCTAACCCTTATACATATGTATAATTCACATCAAATACTTAAAATAGAAAACATGGCTACCACATACAGCGACGACAACAGCTGTTTTTGACTTACATTTTTTGAAGTAAACTTTTTTTTATACAAAGAGTCTGTGACACAAAAATGTTTCTTGATGAAAGTTGAAATGTTTATATAGTACGCTTGAAATTGTAAATCACTTTATGACTTAATACAAATAGAAATAAAAGACATGTTTAGATGCATACTATTTTATTTATTCAGTTAAATTAATTACAACTTTAATTTTATAATAATATACATATTCTCTCAAAGCTTGACTTAACAGAGTGTTTGGACAAATATTGTAATATGCTGCGAAGGCTTCAACTGGTCCATGTAAAGAGTCTATAGCACAAAAATTATTCTTGATAAAAGTTGAAATATTTATATAGTATTTATGGAATTGTAAACTCTTCAACAGCGCCACTTTATGGGACATCATGCTCTGGTCTGCTTCTATAATTTGATTGACCTTGTCTTCCCATAAATAATATTCGACTCAAAATTTCTCAATGGTCAGTAACTTTACATTTTCCATCACCAATGGTCTTAATGTGCAGATATAACCACACCTAAATTCGATTGGATTATACTCATCGGCATAAGTCGGTAGATCTGCTTGGAAAAAATTAATCGATACGATGCTACTCGATAACAATACACAATACATAAACAGTTAATTTAAAATATTTATTTCTTGAATTTCATATTCTACGTTTTAATAAAACTGTTACGTTGTTGGTGTCCCGTGGTCAAGCGGCATGACTATATAAGGAGCAAGTGGGAGTGGTGGGGGTGTCCCAAGTGCCGGAATACCTCCTGACATTTGATAATAAATCACGCAAGTAGAAATCCGAAGATTTCTATTGACGAAACCAAAATCCAGATTTTTGCTTTAATCTGTGCCTTCTAAGAATTGCAAGGTAAAACAGACGATGCTAAAAGATCTAAAGAGAAAAAATGGGGAATCTAAAAGTTGCATTCCATAACATATCTCCCCAACTAAGCAAAAATCCTTGGCAAATGGGTTTCTAGTACTTATAAAGAGAATATCAAAATAAAAGAAAGACAGTTAAGATTTGATTTCACGTATAGTGCCTTTCTATATTAGCACATACGTATTTCATCCTAACAGGACTCATCAAAGCAACTGTTATAGAAGCTTTACAGTCAAAGACAGGGCTTCATTGAACATGAATCAAGATATTGAAAATATGATAGGTTCTTGGATGAAAAACAACGTTTCGACGAAATGGTCAGAAATTATATATTAATATAAGGCATTATTTAGAATAGAACCCAGAGTAGGAATTTCGAGGATATTAAGATGACTTAAGTAAGGAAATAATTGAAATGTTAACCTAAAAGAAGACAGTGACGATAAAGTTGAAAAAGTTGGTAACCAAGGCAAAGTTTCTTTAACTTAGAGTTATTCCTCAGGCAAATGACGAAGGTTCAAACTTGGCACCAAAAATGGAGTACTTTAGAAACTATATTGCAGGTTTTATTTTTTCTTATTTAAGAATTTATCTAAATTTTTGGAGTATTAATGTGGCTAAAGTTTTTAATTTTTTTTCAGATCAGAATTCGACATTTGCCATCAAAAATTACGTCAAAGCTATGATACATTTAGTTTGATCAAGACAAGGTTTTGTCAGATGCAGCTGCACCAAAAACTGTTATACAAACAGATACAAGAGCAAGAAGGCAATGATACTCTGTGAATCTAAATGACAACAAAAACTCCACGTAAAAATAAATAATAATTTTATTAATCGAGGTATAATTATTAATTTTATATAAAAAACACAATTATTTGTTATAATATTACTGTTTGTACAGTTATATTAAAAAAAAAGGGTACAAGTATTAGAAAGGGAAGTTAACGTCATCCTATTTGTGTAAAACCGGCTGGGATTTTTGGAGGTTATCAAATGTCATAAGTGATCAAAAATGCAACTCATAGGCGTCAAAGAGGTTTAATTTGATAGAAGGTTTAACGTTACGTACAATAAAAAATTAATATGCCTCGTCATTTACGTGAGATTGAAAAGGCTCAAATAATTACGAAAATGAAAGAAGGATGGTCAATTCGTGCGCTAGCAAATTTCTATAATAGAAATTTGAAAACAATCTTCAGAATTAAGCAACGATGGGTCCAACAACAATCATTAAAAAGAAAAGTTGGTTCAGGGCGTTCCAAAGTATCTACTCCTCAACAAGATGCTGCTTTAGTTCAATTCTTAAGAGATAATCCCTTTGCGACGTCGAAGGATTCAAGGATTCATACGGGATTTCGTGGTGCCCAACCTACTGTAAGCAGAAGGATCATTGAATCTGAATTATAAAACCGACCAGCTGCTAAAAAACCATTAGTAACTGTTGAACATCGGCAAGCAAGAGTAATATTTGCACTAAACTATATTTACCGCAACCCACAATTTTGGAACAACGTCATTTTTACTGATGAAAAGACTTTTAAATCGACCTATAACGGTCAAATCCGTGTTTATCGTTCAGCCAATACTAGGTTTGAAGAACGATATATTCACTCTCATAATAAATCTGGACGTTTTTCTGTAAATGTATGGGGTTGGATTAGTATACATGGACCTCGTGTTTGTTGGGGATTAGAAGGAAGATTTACTGCCAACAATTACATTAACGTTTTGGAACACGTAATGCTCCCTTCTATTGAGCAATTGTATCCTAATAATACTTTTATATATCAACAAGATAATTGTTCAGTCCACACTGCCCATGCCGTAAGGAATTGGTTTCAAACGCAAAACCTGGAAGTATTGCCATGGCCTGCGCACAGTCCAGATATAAATCCAATTGAAAACATTTGGGGCATAATTGTTAAAAAAATATATAAAAGAAATTTTATGCCACAAAATTCAGATCAATTGTGGGATACAATCTTAGAGTGCTGGGAAGATCTTGATCCAAATATGATATCTAATATAATTCAAAGTATGCCAAATAGACTAAACAAAGTTATAGAAGCAGACGGTTCTATCACCAAATACTAAATTCTATTTGTAACAGTCATTAAAATTATTCTTTATATAATTGTTGAAAAAATGGTTTCGTCTAATTAATGCTCAACGCCAATGATTTATATTTTTAATAACCTGTGACATTTGATAACCTCCAAAAATCCCAGCCGGTTTTACACAAATACGATGACGTTAACTTCCCTTTCTAATACTTGTACCCTTTTTTTTGAATATAACTGTACTACCAATTGTCCATTAGTTTTAACGACGAATCATTACCATCTAAATAAAAATGATTATTTTTCCAATGAAACACGAAATATTACCGACCCAAATGTATAACTGGTCCCACCAAGAAGAAGATGGAAATAAGGTGGAATCGTAAAAAGAATGGGGTAAAGAATCGCCAAAATATATATACAAGCGGTTCTAATTTGGCTCAGAAGGATCAAATATGGATGTCGTGTTCAGCCATCAAATGTCCGAAGTAAAATGTTCCGGAAGCAAACTGAGTCGCCGTTCGAATTTTCGGGTCAATACTATTTCAGGGGGACACCATTACAGTTTAGAATAATCAGGATGGGGTCTTCCAATCTTAGAAGTCCTATAGATGAGATTATGAAGTTGGTAGATGACCTTAAAAGAAAAACGTACAAATAACTTGCATTCAAGACGAGGTGGAACGGACAAACGGCGAAAGAACTAGGTCAAGGATATAAATTCTGGTATGTAGGGAAAAGTAACATTAAGAATTGAGTTGGTATTACTAATGAAGAAATGGAAGATAACGTAGTACAAGTTTTAAGAACGAGTGATGAAATCATGACAGTGAAATTTGTACTTATACAGAAGGGTGAATGCTATGTGTGTGTGTTTATGTCCTTAAGTCGGTCTAGACGAGAATGAAAGAAAAGCTTTCTATGATCAATTAGGAGACATACTAAGTATTATTCCATCAGATAGAGTCATAATAGGATGTGATTTTAATATGAAGCAATACATGGAAGACTGTCATAATTGATAGCCGATACGTGAAGAAACCAAAATATCAGACAATCTGTTTGGTTTAATACAAGACAGATCAACAATAGATGCAATTTTCATTATAGGGTAGGTAAAGGGTCATATAGTATTCATTGAAATTAAGAAAGCACATGACAGAATTCCTCGGGAGATTGTGTGGTGAGCGTTCAATAAACAAGGAGTTCCCGGTGAGTATGTGAAGATTAATGAAGTGACATAAATTCAGACCACAATCCTGTAGTCGCAACTATCCGATTAAAAATTAAAAGAGTAGACTAGACTAAACACAGTCAGAGAATAGCATGGAGGAGTGCTGACCAAGGACAGCAACAGAAGTATGAAGACATGGTAGACACGCAGTTAGAGCAGTAAGACAATAGCTCCCACTAAGGAGAAGACAATAAAA